GGCGGGGGCGCGGGCGCCCGCGTGCGTGGGACGCGCCCCCGCCACGTTCTCCAGGCGCGCGGCGGCGCCCGCCACGTTTGGCCCCGCGCGCTCATGCCACGCATTGCGGCCCTCGGGCAACAAGCCGCGCGCAGCCGCGCGGCCCGAACCCCGGCGCGCCGCCGTCCCGAGAGGGGACGGCAGCGCGTGCGTGCAAAGCGTTTGTGCCCGCCGTTGGTGCGCCTCCTGGCGCTGCCGAGTCCGCGGGCGCCCGCCGCGCGGGGAGCGGGTGCACACTACAAGAATGCCGCGACTCGGCCGCCCTGGCCGCCGGCCCGCGCAGCAAGTGCGCGGGCGGCGCCCAGGCTTGGCGGCTGCGAAGCTTGCCTGCTGGGTTGTCTTGGGTTTGGGAGGGGAGCAACGGGTTTGAGGCGGGCAGGCCTGTTTGTTTTAGATGATGTCATGCACCGTCACCCGATCGCACTGGGTGCCCCGACGGCCCTTTTGACAACACACCGCTTTGGCAGGAAGGGGCAGGGTGCACTTTGCCGCACAACAACACAAACTGCGCGGGCTTTCGGGTTGCCCTCTATCGCCTCTCTGGCTGGGGCCATGCCGCGCCCCAAGGCGCCCCAAGGGTGTGCCGTTGTCGCTGCCGCCGCCGCCGCCGCGCCGCCGCCGCCATCACTGTTGCCTCTCGTGCATGCCAACACAAAAAACTCGAGGAAAGAGAATGACCCCGCCCGGGCAGAGCAGTCGCCCGCGGAGCACCACCCTTGGCTTCTTTCGAGCGCTGCGGGTCTGTGCCGCAGCACACGTGCGGCCTTTAGAGCGCCCCTCACACGAGCGCCGGCCACAGCCGCTGTCAGAGCTTCTACCCAAGTGCTGTGTGCCGCGGCGAGCGAAAAATCTCTTGCGCCGCGTGCAGGGCGCCGCCGCCGCCGCACGGGGGCTAATGATGCCGAGCCTTTAGTGCATTTCGTGGTCGATCCGCTCCCCATCTGCTGCGCAGTCTCTTTGCTATCCCTTCACTTTTGTACCACACCCTGCCGGCGCCCCTATGCAAAGGCGGCGCCCCAAAGCTGGCTGCGGCGATCGCAGCCTGACGCACGCGCACACACAGCACTGCCACACTGCACCACACCTCGCATCCTTCGCTTCCGGCATCACCCTCGCTTTGCCCGCGCCGCCGCGCGGACCTGGGGCGCGGCGCCTGCCTTGGGGCGCTGCGGCCCGGCCCGCGGCCGGCCGCGGCGCTGCACGCGCCTCACGGTGCCGACACAGGAGCAACTCACCCATCCACCGCCCCAGCCCTTGCCCCGCGCCTGGTGGCCGCCCCGGCGAGCGACGCGCCGGCGCGGCCGCTGGCGCCGGCCCTGTATGTATAACCCTCTCCTTTTGGCGCACCACCGCACAGCTGGCCGAGCCTTGTCCCTTTCCGGTTTTCTTCTTGTTGTCGCCAGGCCCCGTTCCCCTTTGTCGAAACCTCGTCGCGGCGTGTAAACGAACCACGGCGCCGCTCAGTCCGCGGCCGGCCGACCGACGCAGCTGCCGGCCCCGCGCGCCCTCCCTGCCCCATTCGCGGCCGCGCTGCAGTCACCTGTGCGGCGGCGAGCGGGCGCTGCGGCCGCCGGACGCACGGGCGTGTGTTTTGTCCACCCTTTGCGCGTGGGCCCCTCTGCTATGTATGCCATCTGTGTGGGGCGAGCATCGCTGGGCGCAGGCCGCTCTTCGGCCACGCTGCACGTGCGCCGCCCGGCTGCGACCAGCGCAGGCGTAACGCACCCCTTGGCCTTCAGCTTGCCGGCTGGATGTGTAACGAAACTGGAGCGCGCAAGTCATGCCACACCACGGTTGCGCGCTGGAAGTGTGGAAACCCCAGCAAAAGGGACGTCCTCGCACTTGTGATTGTCTGACGTGGTCGGAAGCAGAGCGGGCTTGGTATTCAAAGAATTACCAGAGCGCTGGGGCGCCGTCAATGGGTCGCGCGCGTCCACTTGGGCGGGCATCTGGGGGATGTCTCATCCCTGGCAGGTGGAGCCAGAGATGCCCAGGAACCCAGGTGTGTTTGCCAGGAAATCGACCAGCTGACAAAGGTGGAAGGGACCACGACCGCGCTCTCGGCCCGCCGGGGGCGCCACAAAACTGTCAAACAGCAGCAACAAGGCCGGGGGTGACGTCACTCTGACGTCACGATCACAGGTACTCGACGCTGGCCGGCTCCGCGGCGTTGAAGGTGGCGTCGGCGGCGCCAAGGTCCACCTGCGCGGCACGCGCCGGACCACGGTTGAAGGGGGGGTCGCCCGTAAGCGTGTCACACGCTGTGCGGCCCGGGCTGTTTTGTAGAAGTAATTTCAAACCTCGCACTGGCATGAGAGGATACCCCAGGCCTGAGAGGGCCTCAGCTCACCTTCAAGACCTCCCCCGGCCCATCCACACCCATAGCAGCCGCCCGCAAGCCAGGCCTGAACGCCGCTAGACGACATTACCGCCCCTGACCCCCCACCCCTCTACCC